TGACTAATACTAATTCAATGATAAAACTTTTTTATTTTTAACTTTTTCTTAATGAAACTTTTACTAACGCATTTGTGAGATTTTTCTGATTAAAATGATACCAAACACGGTATAGTTTGAATTATATTCATTTATTTATTTATTTATTCTGAATATGCTGCGGAACTATTCACTGCAAATTAGGTGCTTTATGATGTTAGAGACAGCTCGTGATTTCCATGAAACCGGACAGTTTCTTCCTATTGAAAATTAAAGTAATTTACAAACTAACAGTAATAACAGAATGATAATAGAATAAATAAACAATAATAATAGAATAAACAACATAGAATTGACACCTCGGCTACATATGTATAAGGCAGGCCGTACATCAAAGATGCATGTTGCATGTTTGATGCATCTTTGGTGTACGGTCTGCCTATATGACGTGTACAACGAGTTGCATTGAACTTGTCGCAGTGAAGTTGACTACAAATTCACTAACGCATTCACGCCGCGTCGGTGAGTGAAGTTGGCCACGTATTCACTCACCGACGCGATGCGGCGTGAATGCGTTAGTGAATTTGTAGCCAACTTCACTGCGACAAGTTCAATGCAACTCAATGTACGGACGCAGAATCGACACCTCGATTGGATATATGCAACATTAAATGCCCAGAATCGACACTTCGGCTGGATATAGGCAACGTCTGGGTCCTAATGTTTGTTACATATATCCAGCTTTTACTGTAAATGAACTATGCAGCATAAGTGATAAGAATAAAAATTAAGAATTATGGGCTTTGTAATCAAATCTTTCAAATCTTTTAATTCATTCATCATAATTCTGTTAAGTACTTATATCTGCAAACTAGGCTTATTATAGAAAATGGGTTAATCTAATATTATATTTTATCAAAATTGTGTACCTAATATAATTTTGTTGATTAAGATAAAAACAAATTGATCAGCAAATTAAATTCATCTGATTCTCTCGTGATATTGCCGCGGACAGAGCTATAGGGGTAGAAAATTTTCTAAGTTTCCAAACTTTTATTTGAAGGGGCAAGGGAAGATAGAAGTGTCTGATGATGGGAGTAAGTACACTAGTACTCTTGAAAATCTGTACAAAGGACAAATCGCTCACGTAGCGATATAACGAGATTCTACTGTATAATATAGTTAGTTGCTTCTACAATGCTGATTAGTTGTTAAATTTTCTAAAGTAATAATAAAAATAATAAATATCAACCGAGATTTATTATTACAAAATTTACAATTGTAAATTGAATATTTATCAAATTTAAAGTCTTGTGAAAGTTTAATGAAATAAATGTCTATCTGTTAAGTTTAAAAATCAAATAAAGTAATAAAATTTGTATTTAAATAAAAATGAAATAACATCTGTTATAGAGGTTTGCAGCGGCGATGAATTACCAGAAGTTGAGATCATCAGTTTGTTAGAAGAACAAATACCTAGGTATCGTCTACGAGCCGATACTCTAACCCAATTTCAAGGTAAATATTTATAAAAATATTATATTTATACTTAGAGCTTGAATAAAAAGTTTATTCTAAAATTATATACATTAATAATGGACAGAGGTAATTAAAATTTTTCAATCTTTGTTTTTTACTTCTTCAAAAGTTCAAATGATGATTACCAAATTTAGGTTTAATTATTTAACATGTTCAGTTAGATAGAAACAAAGTTAATTACATTTTAAAATATATTTTTATTTTATACATTTTATTTAGCGTCCAAAATTATTCAATCTTTAGTTTTAATAAAATTTTAATTCTTAACTAATGAATTATTTTCACCTGTTATAAACTATATTACATTTAAACAAAAATGAAAGTCTTAAAAAAATATACAAGTTTTATATTGGATGTAGAAAGTATTTGTACAGCATTCATTGTTAAGCAACATTAAACTTGTAGTTCATTAATTAATTTTTACGTGCCTCTAATATTACGCTTTCTTAATTAGTATTTAAAATTTAAATATTTTCTTGTGCTTTGGGATATTTGAAAATTGCCGCGAGAATATAGTAACAATAATGATTATTTTAACAATTGAAGTTACCATAATTTTGTAAAAATAAATCTTCTAAAAAAAAAAAAGAAAAGGAAAGAAAGGCACAGAATTAATTTGTATACCTAATAAATATTGTGTAAAAGATATCAGGTTCTCCTATAATTTGCAAAGTTAACAAGAAAAATTGAGAAATGATCAGGACTATTTGTTTTCCTTAAATCTTAAGGAGTCGTCAGACGATAAATATTTTAGTATTGTCAATATTATTGAACTTGGGGGAATACATTGACGAATTATCAATATTTAAAATACTGACGAGATGAATTGATGAGAATCAATGGAATTTCTTTTAATCAGTCATCATTGAACGCTAACTAAAAATTATTATAGATGCATTGTCAATAAATATTAAACATGCAAGGTAAATACAGTTTGTCAATAAATATCTGCCTGTAATATTTAATTGTTTATTTATTCATACACTGTCAGTTTTCGGATTCAAATGTCTGGAATATTTAAATATTACTGTATAATAATATAAATTGATTTGTTTAGTGTCCAGAAGGAGCAATAAGTACTCACACTCCTGATCAAATCAGACTTTTCTAGAGGGAATGGGTATTCTGAAAATTTGACGATTTTAATATTAAAAATTATTTGAAATAACAATAATACCATTTTCTATTATTGAATATCATAAAATTTAGTATTTAACTGAGAAATGTGAATAATAAATAAATATCAAATCAAATTTTCCCGCGTTAACGTTTATGCGCAGATGATAGGGTTAGACTCATATTATGTACGGGGCTCCCTTCGCTACATCGTCACTTTCCCCAGGGATGCCTATGCGGAAGGACGAGAACTGGAGACCTCCCCTTTTTCCTGGGGAAGTCTGATTTGATCGGACGCGTACATATAAATAAATCGATAACTCACTCTTTTCTTGTTAAATTAATTTCAATTATTTATTTATTATTGGATTTTTAAGATAGATTTGTTATTAAACAATCACATGAACATTTATTACTTTTGTATTTCTATCAGTTTCTGAATCGTTTTATTATTAATTTTGCAAACTTTGCAAGTATCTGATGTATTTATACAATTTCTATTTTGCAGTTCTCCAAAAATATACATATAAATTTTTTATTTAAATTAAAATTAATCGAAATTGATCCACATCGAATACTTTCTGCACCCTCTGTATACAATTACATTATGCTAAATTCTTTTAATTATGCTGCAAATCTCAATTTAATATGTATTTTGTACAGGATACGAGAACGCTGATTGGTTCATTCCGTCACCGGCCCTAAAAACAGTCGATACCGATTTAAAATTATCACCGGACCAAATCCGGGAGACTCTCAACTATTTCAGTAAGTAATTGTTTATAATAGCTTTTGTTGCTTTTTATTATTTATTGCATTTATTATATTTCGTTTTATACAGGTAAGTATCGCCTATTTTACAATGTCTTGTGTCCTACAAAGGTTTCAAACTTATAATATTGAATAATATAAACAATTAATAATATTGCAAATAATATTTGCGATTATTTATTTTTATTATTTAATCTATTTAAACTTGACATAGACAGTTTAGAAATAAATTACCATAATTTTTAATTTAATTTCTTTTTCGAATTGTCCATTTTAAGTTAAAAAAAAAACTGGATAATAAAGATAAAAAATTGTAAATGTTATTAATTAAATAAGCCAATCAAAATTAAATCACTAAACAAATTATTGTAAATGAAATTTTAAACGTAATTTTATTTATTTAAACTAGTTAAAAATAGGTGAAAAGAAATTTATTTAGTTATTTTCTCATGGTGATAAATTACAAGATTTAATTATGTTCCTAAGATTTTAAATTGAATGCCTGTTAAAAAAAATTCAATTTGTTTCCGTACCTATTTTCAAAGTTTATAGTACATTGCTATGAAAGATTTATGATTATAAAATTGTGGTTTAACTTTGTTTTCAAATATGTCATTTCATATGTAGTATTATTTAGAAAATTGTAGATTATCAGCCTCATAAATCATATTTACAACTCACTCTATTTTTCTGTTTCGATAAGGTAAAATTTTCAACGATAAAATTCGACCTTTATCGTTTACTTGTTATCGTTTGCGACATTCCTTGCATCTTAAAATTATTGATTTATTTTTTCCTGGAACACTTTAGGTTTATGTTAACCAATGTAATTGATGTGTTGTGCATAGTGTTTTTGAAGTCTTCTTTGAAATCGACAAAGAAGCTTAAGTTTTTCACGTATATCATTATTCATCGATGAGGTAAAGATTTCTTTAAATCACTCAGAAAATATTTTTTGATAAAACAATTTCACTTTCATACGTTGATTTAGTTTGTTATTTCTATAGAAACTTTTATTTATTTAATGTATGTTTAAAGTTATTATAAAAGGTTACATAAATATTATTATAATTAATCACACTATGTTCGTAATATGACAAGAATGAAGAGTTAAGAATTGCACAAATTTTGAAGTATATGATTCACACCAATCATAAGCTTTGATACAAATCTTTCTATATAACACAATTGGAGGAATTTATTTGAATTTAATAATTCGCAGTATCTTTTTCAGAATTTTGTATAAAAAGACTGTTTTGTTAAAGTAGTATTTATAAAAATAATATTCTTAGAAACGTGTTTTCTTTATTTAAAATAACATTTTACACTTCATTGATAACGAGTCACATGTAATTAGGCTCTTATTTGTGAGCGTCCAATCGTAACAACCGCCCGAATGTGTTCTCAGCCAATTAGAGCGCTGAACCCGGCACTGCAGCTGGAAGTTTCATAGGTGTACTTTAGTCACCGCTCGTCCTCCACGTTGGAAGGATGTTCTGCGTCTCTGGCGGTATAACATGAAAGAACTTGCCTAATCTTATGTTACAAAGCAACTAACGTATATTTTTGGAATGGTGTCCATTGAAGAAGTGAGTGTTTTTGTTTTGTGAAATAACATTTTTGCAAAGCGGTGTAAAGTGAATCGTCGCAGTAGTGTACTTTTCTGTTATACTTTCTTATTCATACCGCGTATTGGGAATTTAAATATGAAATTCTAATATGTCATTGGGAACGTTTCGAATTTTGTCAATATGCAGGTTTGAATTTTAATTTATCATTGATGTTTTTCGTAAATTAATGGTACAACGAAAATTCGAAATTTCATTTATCATTCTTAAAAAAATGAAGTTAAAGAAATGAGATGTTATTAGCATTATATGTCATGAAGTCAGTTACGATTCTCATAATAAAGTTAACTCTTACAGAATATATCGACAGAATTAAGATACATGTCACTTACACACGTCCTACTAACTTTGTATTTAGTATTTAGTTTTTTATGAAGTAAAAATGTTTGTTAAAACTTTACATAATATGAACAAAGAAATATTATTTTCATAGCAATAAACTATGTAAAAAGAAATTATCATTTTTTAAAGAGACGTGATGTTTCGAAAATTTTATTTAGGTTATTACTTTGGTTATTAGGTTAGGTTAGACATTTGAACTAGCCGAAAGAAATGTTTTTTAGTTATTGAATTTAGTTAATTTGTATTTTTTGTTAGAATATAGAATTAAAGATTTATATTAGGAGATATTCTTCCGTAGATTAAGTAAGGTAGTAGGTTAAGTTATTTTTATAGAGGTGTGTCGCGTTAGGTTAGACTAGGTTAAGACTGCATAGATAAAACATATTTTCTTCATTTTTTACATAAAAATGTCCAAGTTCTGTGTATTGCTACATTATGATGTTAGTGGTTTTAACAGTGATTAGTTAAATGAAAGTTAAATTAATTTTTCTTAGAATTCGTATTTTATATTGCTGCGTCATGTACAGATTCTTTAATTCTTCCATAATTTAAAGAGCATTTACATTTTATAATCAAGGTATTTTTAGAAAATTCTCGTCTCACTCTTATGTATAGTTCTGTACAATGTGTCATAAATTGTCTATGATTTTTACATACCATTGTTATATAATTATATAGCATCTTTTATCTTTGTAAATAAGACTTTGTAAATAGATAACAGAAAATGACAAATTTCAGTTTTTCCTTTGCAGTCTAGAGATGTAAGAAGTATTTTATTATTCACTGTTATTTATCGATATAGGATATTTTAAAATAGGAAATAGAAATTTCTATACATAATTCTTCATAGAAGTATAATGTTATTTATTATTCCAGTTCAATATATCATGTATCAGTTATCAAACAATAGATCTACACGATCATATTTCAAATATCAATTATCAGGTATACGATGAAGCCGTTCTAGATTAAGAAAACAATATTCCACTTCATTTAACAATTGCAGATTAATTTTCTAAGATATTTCTTGATCGATCAGGAATTTTAATTAAATTAATTTTTAAGATATATTTTTCAAGTTTTATATTACATTAGAGTAGTTGCGTTTCTTTGAAACAATTATAAGGTTCTATAATATACATTGAAAAAGCGTTTGAAAACTTAAACAACTTTTTAAAGAAATTTCTCATTAGCTTAGAAATATTAATTAAACTGACTTGGAAGGTATGTTTTACTTCTTTTTATTCTGGAAGCTAATCAATTGTTAATTTGGTACATGATGCACAAGCAACAGTGAAAAACGTTTCCCATGTCTTGAACCCAATTCCGTTAGAACATTACGTAATAATCGCTAGGTGATCAAGTTCCTTTCGTTAAAGAAAGGCCGTGTAATTCTTCAGACACATTCCTTCCTTGTATAGCTCAAATTACTTTCTCACAGATCCGTGAATTAAATGATACCTAGAAGAAAACTCAAGATACAATGGTTTATTGTTTTCGAAACTTCCTTTGAACTCTTTCTCGCCACGTTATTACCTTTCTTTTAATTAATACATAATTAATCGGTAATCACGGAAGTACCAGCATTGTATACTCGATTTTCACTCGTTATTACGTTCGCTTGAAAATTGATTAAATAGTTCGTAACATGAGTTTTAAAGATATCATATTTGCATGCTGATAATTATGTATACGTATATTCATACTAACAAAGATTACATAGAATCTGCATTTTCACATTATTAATTGAGTTTGGTATCAGTTACTAATTACCAATCAATTATTCAGATAGTAATTATATACTGTTACATAATAATGTAATTAACAGAAATTTTTATTACCTTAATTTAGAAAATAAATTATGTACATACATATTTCAAGTTATATATATACTATATGAAAATTTGTATGTTCCGGCAAAGAGGAGGTATAACAAGAGCCGACACTCCCGGCGGCACCTTTGATGTCGATGATTCCCTGTCCCTTTAAATGGGTTGTATCAACGAGCGGGAAGTTTGAATGAATTGGATGTAATACTTTCTTTTCATAACAATCTTTTATAACTAGAAACCTTTTTGCGTCGTCAATTTTTCTGTATATTATTAATCGAAGTATTTACATTAATTTTACATAATTGAAAAGTGGGAAAGTAAGAAATATAATAAAATGATAATATTAGAAAATATATTTGAACATAAATTACACAATTATACAATAGGATGAGGAAAGATTTCGGATAATATATTTGAAGACATTACAATATTTACAAATTTAATACAATATGAAGTTTTTTTTAACGCTAGTTTTAAAATCCCTATTACTATATTTAAGCGTATAATAAATTTTTAATCTAATAAATAACTTTAATAAATATTCTAGAGGAAAATTGTTACAAGGATGAATAAAATCAGTTACATTTCTACATAAATGATACATATTTTTACCTACATGGGTGCGAAGTAAAATAGAATTCCTGGTTTATGACGGTCTGAAATGCCATAAACTCTTGCTTTTTGCAGCATTCTGACAAAGAAGTTTCCACAAAATAGGGTATGTACGTAAATCCACAGTACAAACTAGTCGCGAAAACGAAGATTGCCGAATGGACCTTTAAATGGGTTGAGTCACTTCGTCTCTCTCTACAAGTAGTTTCTCTCTCAGAGTGTCGTCTCTTATTATACTTACTCTTTGGTTCCGGTTTGATTTAAAGAACTTGGCGGGAAATTTAAATGTCCTTAATGGTATCTGCAATAATTCTTTTAAAATAATTATAAAATTTCTTAATTTACATCAGAAATATTTGAGAATTTAAAAATATAAACTTTAACTTCCTTAATTCTTCTACAACACGATATTATAATACAAAATTATTTTATTTAACAATATTAATTCCTGAAATGATTTCTAATCTTCTTGTCATATTTCTATATTTATTGATCCATTCATCCACTAAGATTGTAATTGCAAGTGGTTAGAAAAGAAATATTTGATCGTCATTTTATCGTTGCTTGCAGAATTCTTATCGATAGAACGATCGCACGTATTTGAGTTACCGATCGATTGTTTCCTTATCAGTTCGCTATTGCGCGTTCTTTTTTTCATAAGAATTCAAACAAGTGTTTTTTATTCTCTTCAATCAACACAATTGTTTTTCAATCTGTACATGTTTCCGATAAAAATGATACCTCCTTGTGTTCCGATAAGAAAATTGCGAACGATAAATCATCTTAAACGGTACGCTTTCAAGATAATCGTTGCCATTAATTTACGAAAAATAAAGTCATCGACCTATTTGATTACCGTCTAAAAAGTGTATCATTTAACAGTGAACATTAACTATGTGAATGAAAGGGGAACGAGGAGAAACAGAAACGTTTTAAGGAAAAGGCAGAAGATCAGCCATTAACATTTAAAAATTTCTTCGCTGTTTAAAAAATAAAAATACAAAAAAAAAAAAGATAAAAAATCTCGATCTACTTAAGATCGAGAATCGATTATGGCGACATGAGCAACGATCGCAATTCTGAAAGATCCGATTCAGAATTTGACGAAAGAGAGAGGAAGAATTTTCAAAATGTCTCACGGGAAGCGAGTAAAAGTAACTCGGAAGAGCGTGCCGGAGGAAGTGGCGTTGAGTCAGAAAAAAATTCCCAGAGAACGTTGGAGGATTCCCAGGAAGATTCATCTTGGAAAAGAATCGAACGTTCTCAGGATAATTCTGCTTCAGGAACGAGCGAAAGTCTTTTAGAGCGTGTCGTTACCGAACAAGAAAGTGGCAGAGATGTTACCGACTATTATAATCCGCAAACTTCCTGGACGTACACATCTGGGACTTGCGATAATTTATTGAAAAATTTGAATAGGAAGTATCTTTGGAAATCGGAAAGAAAAGATTCGAAGATTTTACGGAAAATGAACGAACGTTCCTGTGGAAGTGATCAAGGAGGTTCCGGCGAACTAGACACTTCCGGGAAGTTAAAAAATCACGATAGTCCTCCACGGGTGCCAACGTTTAATAGCTTGGCTTTGGATGTATCGTATGCCGGCCTAGACTCTTCCGGTTTCCTCGATCTTGAATCCACGAGAAAGTCTCACGACGATGATCCGCCGGAAGTGTGGGAAGATTTCAGCGTCGTCGAATGTTTGGATAGAAAATTATTGAACGATGAAAGCACGCCGGAAGAAAGGGTGGAAGCTTTGAAAGAAATTTTGGCGGACACTGATATTCACGAAGGGGATGGAATCGTTTCGGATTTTTTGTTTCATGTTGCCAAAACGAAACACGGGAAGATTTATATCAGGGTTATTAGAACGATGCTTATCAACCGAGGTAGGATATGAATAATTTATTTTATTGATCATTTCAGTTTTACTCTTAGGGAAACTGAATTAAAATAGATTATCTAGAGATGAATAATAAAGGAAATGGAAAGGTGATGGGATTGAATAGGAAATCGGTTGAATTTATTTTCTCCAGTTCTATATTCGCGATCAAATCAGGCTTCCCCTGGAAAGATGGTGATTTCCCGGCTCCTCACCTTTCCCCTTAGGCATTCCCGGGAAGAATGACAGTGCAGGGAAGGAGCCCCATGTACAGGGTGTCCTAGCCCAACTGTTACAGAGCTCTTATTCCGTACCTATTAATGACACAAAAAATTGTTGATATGAAAATTGCATGGTAAAATGGGGCCTATGTTTTGGCCGAAGTGCAAAATCTTTTGCATTATTAATTTAAGAGATATGATGATAGTACTTCTCAAGACGAATTTATTAAGCTTGAGTATATACACTCGATTTTAATTAGTTTTCAAAATATGACGTTTATAAATTTCCCGATTTTCAATAGATACGTCTTGGTTTGAGTAGCAAGTCGTAAAAGTGGCCCTATTGTTGCGGTAAGTGCCACAGCGGGGATCTACAGCGGAGTTCACCAGAGTCCATAACTGCGAAAAGACCAGTTTTCGTTCTTTCGTGCGCATCTTCGCCCTGATTGGTGGTACTCCCAAACGAAGTAGAAAGCGATTAGCGGAGAGCTTGCTGCGTTCCCCCACCATCTTTCAACCTGCGCGTCGCAGTTATGGACTCTGGCGAACTCCGCTATACGCTAGGAACGGCAGACCCAAAGAATAGGAAACCGCAACAATACGTCCGCTTTTACGACTTGCTACTCAAACCGAGACGTATCCACTGAAAATCGGGAAATTTGTAAACGTTATATCTTGAAAATTATTTAAAATCGGGTGTATACATTACAGTTTAATAAAGGGTCTAGCCGTATAAGCATAGTGAATCGGCCCCAGTAACAATTTCGGTTGATATTTATATCACATAATGCTTTTTGCCTAAACAACAATTGTGTGCAATTTCAACCCCCTACCCCCTCTGATAAGGGAGATATGAGGGTAAAACCCAAAACCTTTACCATTTTTTTTCTCAGAAACTATTTAAGATATTTGATCACATTAAAGTGCAAATAGTAGGTATTCATTAGCTGTATATCATATTTTTTTTTCAAAATTTTTATTCGATGATTAAGGGTTGAAAATTAATAAATAAATCTTTGAAAATGATTTTTATAAACAATCCCTTGGATGACACCCACCGAAAAAATTAAGAATAATCCTTTACTATTTAACTATTATCTGTAAAAATTTCAAAAGTGTCGGATTGGTACATCATAGTTAAAAAAAAATAAAACCAATGCAACGCCCTTTCATAAGGCAAAGCCGGCCTGAACGTTAGAGGCGCTCAACCTAACCGACCTACAGGGGAATACGTAGCGCCGACCCGCCACGTTTCTCGTACCAGAAACAACTCTCAGAAAAGTATGAGCTCTTCTTTCCCTAAACTGTGTGTTAATTAACAGTCATTTATTTAAATAATATATTAACAATTTAAATTTTTTAATTAAGTTTTCTGGTCCTAACTTTTAACGTCCGTGTTTTCACAGTCTTTCTCGTTTTAAGTATGTGGGAGCCCTAAATCACAGATTTATATCATGTCTTGAACAATGGCACTATGTTAGATGCCATTAGTTGTCCTTTTAATAATCAAAGAAGGTATCACAGTTATAAATGCAATATTATTCTATTCAACGCTGTAAAGAACATAGACTTCTATAACTATTTCCGTCTTTACCTTTTCACGTTCGTATTACTTTTAATTAAATTGTAGCTGGTACCTGTGAATAGTTGTAACTAAGATTTTCCTCGTTTTAAGTATATGGTCGCCCTGAAAAGGGTTAATTATATTATAGCGTACCAGTACTACCTGGAAATGGCTGCAATTAAGGTGACCTTCGTTTTAAGTATATGGGTGTCCAGAAAAGAGTTAAGCGCGTTTTATGGTACAAATGGTGTATTTTCCAATGCGGTTTATATGCCCTGATACTTTTTTACGCAATCACGGAGCCTAAATTGGCGTGTAAATAGACGCATCATAAAGGGTAAAGCGTACGATCCTGAGTCCATGATTTTAGTGTCCACTGTCTTGTTCCCTCTTGTTGCCGAATATAGAAGAGTCGTTAATTGGATAGAATTTGCAAACTTTAAAATCTCGCGGTAAAAACGTTATCTTGCGGAATTATTGGACGAACATGACGCGTTAAATGTACAATATTTACAACAAAACAATAACATTATAAAAATGAAAGTTCGGTCGCGACATATAAACGGTAAAACTTACAATTGTTACATAGAATACAAATCAAACGTAAATAGTTACGCGGGTATAAACCAATATGCATGCGATTGTCCGAATGGTAACAGAACGGTAGGTTGTTGCTCCCACGTCGTCGCGATCATTTATTATTTATCCCATGCGCGTTATAAATCCAGAATAGTTAAACCGTCAGAAATTTTAACTCACTTATTTGACAAAACTAACATTATTCCAGTTATTGATGAAAATAGCGACGAAGATTAAAATTTATTTACAAGCGTGTTTTTTTAAAAAAAGTTTTTGTGTTTTCTGTTTCAAATCATATACTTCAACCTGACAATACATAACACAATCAGCTCTTTTTAGGGCTTAATAATCAGCCCTTTTCAGGGCTCCCACATACTTAAAACGAGGAACACCTTAGTTGCATTTATATAAGGGTGCCATTTGTAACGTACAACATAATCAGCTCTTTTTAGGGCTCCCACATACTTAAAACGAGAAACACCGTGAAAACACGGACGTTAAAAATTAAGACCAGAAAACTTAATTAAAAAATTTAAATTGTTAATATATTATTTAAATAAATGACTGTTAATTAACACACAGTTTAGGGAAAGAAGAGCTCATACTTTTCTGAGAGCTGTTTCTGGTACGAGAAACGTGGCGGGTCGGCGCTACGTATTCCCCTGTAGGTCGGTTAGGTTGAGCGCCTCTAACGTTCAGGCCGGCTTTGCCTTATGAAAGGGCGTTGCATTGGTTTTATTTATTTTTAACTATGATGTACCAATCCGACACTCTTAAAATTTTTACAGATAATAGTACAGTTAAATAGTAAAGGATTATTCTTAATTTTTTCGGTGGGTGTCATCCAAGGGATTGTTTATAAAAATCATTTTCAAAGATTTATTTATTAATTTTCAACCCTTAATCATCGAATAAAAATTTTGAAAAAAAAATATGATATACAACTAATGAATACCTACTATTTGCACTTTAACGTGATCAAATATCTTAAATAGTTTCCGAGAAAAAAAATGGTAAAGGTTTTGGGTTTTACCCTCATATCTCCCTTATCAGAGGGGGTAGGGGGTTGAAATTGCACACAATTGTTGTTTAGGCAAAAAGCAATATGTGATATCAATATCAACCGAAATTGTTACTGGGGCCGATTCACTATGCTTATACGGCTAGACCCTTTGTCTTGAGAATCACTATTACATGATCTGAAAAAAAAAAATATATGGTTCCATTTAAAAAACAAAACTTGACCATCATATCTTTTCATAATTTTCATTAAAAGTGATCAGAATACGATTTTTTTCTACATTCACTATATATGATGTCCCTAAAGTTTCCATCTATTATACTAAAATAAGAAAGAATTTATATAATTGTTATATTGGCATACTTACACGCACATTTTTGTGTAATACCCGCATATTTATAATTCTGCAACTGCCTTCTTCATTTTTTTTTATTTTTTTTCAAGGAAGATTTCCACCTTGACTAGTGGGATCTCCAAATTTAGCACCCTTAAATATTGTTGCCTTGGGTTTCATTAACTCTGAAGTACATCGATAGTCAATTAGGTTATTAAATTTCCAGCCTCAAGTGTCAGGGACCTTAGCAATTTAATTCGGTGTCGTCAGACCAAGCAAATATTATTTTCACTTTATATGTATGTACACAACAGTGAAAAATAAAATCATTTGTACCGCTTATTGAAAAAAATGTTAGTTTATAGTGAAAAATATATAAATATTGAATATTTGTATTTTTGAATTAAAAAGTGTGATAAGTAGTTTTCGAAATCGCATTTCTCTAAAAGGTAGTTGGAAGGCAAGACGGGGTTAAATTTTCATTTTTATTCATATTTCTACTTTCTACACGTGTATCTTTATTTATATATATTACATTTAATTAATTAGTTAAGCTTTCAATAATTATGCTCTTTCTAAGGTACTTCTGCGTACCTTAGTCTACTTACACAGATTGTTCATTTTTTGTTTTACTTAATTTACTTTCTACTGTTCATAGCCATTTAACTAACTTCTCTTTTTCATTTCCCTTTTACACATTTTCCAGCATGCAATTTCTTTTCCATTCCATAACAGTCATCTAGTAGCTGTTTTAACCCTTTTATTGCGAAAGGCGTACACTGCCGGTCAGAAGTATTCGCTTGTCTATATTTTTGAATTTTTAATCGAGCAGTGTAAAATTCAGAAAATGGTAATAGTATACAATACAAAATTAAATTAAAATTGGGGCTCTCTCAATGGTCCATCGTCCGAGGGTTAAATAAATTTTAAAAAATTACTTGTACATAGTTTCGTGAAACTTAGAGAATTTTTTTTGTAATTAGTCAAATTATAAAGACTTAAAAATTAACCCATTTGCAATAGTATGAAAGTTTTTCAAAATTCCAAGTAGCGTTAATATTATATTAATTTCATAAGGGATAAAATGAAAAGTTTTGATTGGAAATGCTATTAAATTGAAAGAAATTTTAAAAAGAATAAGTACCATTAATATTATACTAATTTTATAAGGTATCAAGTAGAAACTAAAAATTAGAAAAAAAAGAATGATCAATTATATAAAATTATAATATATCATGTCATAAAGGCATTTTTTAATGATTTTTCTCATTTTTCAAACGAGATGGTT